GAGAGTCCCTGGTAAAAATAAATGAGCTGGTTTTCTCCTTTGTGCAGTGTGAAGTTGGGCTTGGATGATCTCCAAGAACACCTCCATCGTTTATATTCCAGGTCTCTAGTAGATGCTCAAGAAAAGTTTACCGAGCAAATGAACTATGAACAAGCCTCAGTCTTTCCTGTTGGCAAAACTTTGCCCATCAGTGTAAATTGGACGTGTCCTTCCAGGCCTGACCTGGCCCTGCAGACTCCATGAAATGGCCCTGGGCCAGCCTCCATCAACCCTTCCCTGCTTTGGACTTACTGCTTCCACTCTTAGCTGAGAAGGCCTTGTACATTCCCCACATTTATGTTTCTTTTCTTCCCAACTAGACTGTGAGCTCTGAGAAGTCAGGAGTGTTATTTATATAAATCAATATATCCACAAACATATGGGATACTGGGTATATGGCATATACACAACAAAAATATTGAATTTTCCCATCTGATGAATGGACTTGAGTGGATTTCAACCCCAAAGGGGATTCTCAAATCTCTGGTTGTTCCCTAGAAGATTCAGAGCAATCCAGGAAGCAAAATGAGGATGAGGGAGCTCAGCGATTGAAAATGAGGAGCGCCTCTCACTGTGTTACAAGAGCTCCTTAATGTGGGTTTTGAAAATTACCATGCCTTAGTTAAATGTGAGTGTGGTTTTTGAAACATGGCCTTCAGAGAGCTAGAAAGTCCATGAACGCTAAAAAAATTTGGAAATGATCTGTGAGTCTTTCAAAGTTAGAAAGACACATCACTCTGCATATTGTCTTCCAAGAGCCTTGGTACTTGTGTCTGTCAGTAGAGGCTAGGTTATGCTGAAGTAACAAATAGCCCCCAAATTTCAACAGCTAGAAACAATCAAGGGTCACATTTTGCTCATGCCCATCACAGGTCAGCAGGGCCCATGCTTATTCCTCAGGAACCCAGGATGGAGTGGCTACCATTTTGAATTGCTGGTCACCACGGCAGAAAAACTTGCCTGACCCCTCCAACCACAAGGAGGTTAGGAATGGCAATGCCACCTGGTACCTGAACTAGGGACATCCAGAAACAATTAGAGAACCATGCTACCATAATCCTAGTTACCAGAAAGCCAGCCAAAGACAGAGCTCCAAGCACAGACACTTGAGTTTTTTATATCCCATTTTCAGGCTTAGGCAGATGCATGAGGACGTTAGTAGCTATGGCCAAGTACCACAGATCTTGTGCCACCTCTATAGTCCTGGATCCCTTGCCAGAAAGGGAAGCCTTGGCTATTTGTGAGAGTCTGCGTGTGTCACCCAGTGTGTGACTCATCCATTCTCCGGTACTCTGCCCCTCCCACCTCAGGAGTTACTCCCAAGCAGGATTTGCCTGTCAGGCTGCAGGGCCCCTGCATATGGGGCTGGCTGCCTGTGCCAGAGCAAGGCCAGCCTGAATGCCTCAGCCTGCGGAGCCACCATTCAGGGCTAAATTGACAGCTCAGAGATACAGGAGTTCAGCCTGCTAATTTGCTGCAAGATACGGCAAAGGAAAGCCACTGACACCTGCGTCTCCAGCTGCCAGGGAGTGGGGCGAATTTGTCAGTGACTTTGTCGTTGGCTAGCCACAGTGAGTAGTCCCATGTTCCTCTCCCTCCAAGGACTTCCTTGGGAGAATTTCAGAGGTGAGCAGCCAGCTATGATTCTACACTTTCGAGGCTTTGTAATTTGGACTTTCGTCAATAACATAGACAGGGAATAAGTATTCAAAAGGAATTTGGTAACCTGGGGGCACTTGACATAATTCCATAAGAGCACTAGTCTGTATGAAAATATGTTTGCTTTTACTGATTACTCTCTGCTTCTCTGATCCCATGCAAATATCAGATTCCAGGAAACTGGAATCTTTAAAGGAATTATTTTCTTCTTCTCATGACCTGAAAGTGATTAAGTACAACTACAGAAGCTAATTCATTTTTCTAACCATTCTTTTCCCTCATCACACTTTGTAATGTTTTATCTATAATTTTGACTTATTATCAAGTCATCACCAGCTTTAAAGTCTCCTTGAATACAGAGGAATATTTTTACACCTTCACATGCACATCAGTGCACACACACACACACATCCTGCACTTCCAATACTAACCTATGGCATTAAGAATTCTTGATCTTGGACATTATTTTCCTCAGATCGGACTTTCTCAGGAGGAATATAAACTTTGGAGGGATTTTTCTTGGCTCGTAAGCTTGTCTGCCTTGCGTTCTTCTTTGCACCGGGAGGGTGGGGGAGGACACATAGACGTCTCCCTGTCCATTTCCTTTCATGTCCCTCCTTAAAATATTGTTGGAATTGATGCTTATCTCTATTCCTTCCTTTTTCTGAAGGATTCTTTGTCGGTATTTGTTGAGTGTGAATTTTGAAAGTTTAGCTGTGATTAGAAACTTTTATCCTTTGAATTTTGAGATTTCCCCCTCTAAAGTAAACTTCCAGCTTAAAGAGTGAGGCTTGAATGGACCTCACCTTATTTGGATTTAGTAAATTTTCCCT